GGAGATTGGTATCAACAATACACGCCGCTCTGCGTTGATAGTTTTTACGAGGATATGGTCGAGAACATAGAGAAATTAGTACAGAGGGAAAATAACGGGGGCAGGGGAAGCAAGACGCATGGACCTAAGAAATTTAAATATTCCAATGATCAGCAAGTCAAGGGGTGGGAGAGAATGCTACGGAGTGCACATAAAGAATGGATAAAAAATGGAATGAGGGATGAAGAGAAAAATACAATGTTGGAAGTGGCTAGGGAATGCAGTCAGGTGAGGAAGGAGGCGCGGGACAGATACTGGCAAGACTTTGCTCAGTCCATTGGTAATACTAAGAACCTTAAAGACATATGGAGAGCAGTAAATAAAGTCAGGGGTTGTAAGACCAAATTCATTGCTCACTCAGATCCAGGGAAGGTTGCTAATGAGTTAGTAGATAAATGGGCAAGTGCTGCTGGTATGGAGTCCTTACCTGCAGACACGAGAATCACCATTGAGTCATGGGAAAATATTAGAAATGGAGTAACTTTATGTGCCTTAAATACAAGATCTATAGCGTGCACTGAGATAACTCACGATGAGCTACTGGATGCTATAAAAAGTGGCAGCTCTACTGCTCCTGGGAAAGATGGAGTAACGTATGACATTCTTAATTATTTAGCCGGTATGAACCCTAGTCCCTTACTTGATTTGTTTAATATGAGTTATAGAGAGGGAAAGTTACCAAGAAAATGGAAAGAGGCAGTCATCATTCCTATCCCTAAGTCAAACGGTGGCTACAGACCTGTCTCCTTAATATCCTGCTTTTGTAAAATGATGGAAAGGATTTTGTTAAATAGGCTACTCTATCTTGTAGGTGATAACATGTCCAGTAATCTCTTTGGTTTTATCAAAGGCAAAAGTACTGCGGATTGTCTCTTAAAGTGTTTGTCTAATGTGGATGACAATTGTAGAGTTTTTGTTGATCTACAAGGAGCATTTGATAAAGCCAATGGGGAAGTAATCTTATACGAATTAGCCAATCTGGGAATAACAGGGAGATTGTTACACTGGATAAGGGATTATCTACAAGGCAGAAAAGGTCAGGTGTATTATCAGGGATGCATGTCTGAGGAACGGAGGTTTCAGTTAGGTACCCTACAAGGGGGAGTATTAAGTCCCACCTTATTCAATGTATTAATGAACAGATTAGCATCAGAAATGTATCCTCCAGGGGTCACGACGATCATATATGCTGATGACATTCTTATACAAGGCACTTCCGGGAACAAAATTCAAACTGCTCTTAACATACTTGGTACAACCTGTCACAAGTTAGGCTTAGTTATAAATGCAGATAAAACCAAATATGAGTATAGGAAACGAAGAAATATAACACTTACTCTAAATGGTGTGGAACTGAGCCGTGTTCAGAAGTACAAGTATCTGGGCATGTATGTTGGATACACATGTGAGAGTAAGAATGCTGAAATAAATCATATCAGCACCTTATGTAAAGCCCGTCTGCATCCTCTAAAAGCACTGGCTTTTTCTGGTAAAGGTGTTGGGGTACCTATCTTACGGATGTTATACATAAGCACTGTTCGGTCCCTGATAGACTACGCAGCACCCGTTTTGTCTTACACAGGCCAAGGCAGAATTAAAAAAATAGAGCTGACACAGAACGAGGCTATGAGGATTATTCTTGGATGTCAAAGAAATGCAATGATTGAAATAATGAGAATGGAATTAAATTTACAGAGTGTGTGTGATAGAGTCCGTGACATTAACACTAGAGTAGCTATTCGTTTCATGCGGAGAAAAGGAGGGGATAAGCTGTTTGAGAGCGTTCAGACCTGCTTGAGTGACGTACACACTTCCAGGAAACTGAGGGAGACACGCTACACGAGGGGATTAGCTCATGACCTCAGGGAATACGATGTACTTGACTGCTGTAAACCCTCTCGACAGTGTAATAGGTCTGCTCCCTGGAAAGTACAGAAAATAGACGTCGAAATTGTACCCCTCAATGTGAAAAAGATTCATCATGAAACGGGACAATTACGGTGTATGTATGGAAGCATGATATCCCGGTTACCAAGAGGCAACAGTTTACATGTATATTGCGACGGGTCGGTGGCGGAGGATGGCAGGGCAGGGTGTGGTGTCCTCATAAGGGAATATACAGAGTTTGGGACTGTGGACAGGAAAATTGAACTCCGGCTTAGTAATTATATATCATCCACACAAGCTGAACTGCAGGCCATTCTGGCGTGTTTGGAGGAAGTACGTCATGACGGCAAAAATGTTTTTGTATTTGTCGATAGCCGAGGAGCACTGGAGTCCTTAAACAGTCGAAACCCAGTCTTCATGTCTATAGTTGAGGATTGTAAGAGAAGAATAGCTGAGATACAGCTGAAAGGTCATAGTGTGAAATTCATGTGGATTCCATCTCATGTTGGAATAGTGCTCAACGAGGTGGCGGATGACTTGGCCAAACGTGCCACATCAAAACCACAAATTGACATTGAATGTGAATTCACAATGAGACAAATAAGAAGCAAAATCAGAAATATTCAGGCACAGGTAGGAGTGGAGAGGAGAGGGATAATGTATGAGAGAAGTCTAACCATGCAACACTACATGTATGTGAGTCAAAACACCCTTTTCACTTATGGTAAAAGGAGAAATGCTTGGAGTGACTCTGTGTACATGCGGCTCAGGCTTGGGTACAAATATTACTGGGAATATGGGATAGGCGTTCATGATAATGACACGAAGTGTAAACTATGTGGTATGTTAAGGTCTCACACCCTTGCCCATTATGTTCTTGATTGTCCGTTGATTAATGTATATAGAAACACTGAGATAAGGACTGTTCCTGAGCAAATAGCCTGGATGTGTCACAAAGGAAAGGTTGATGATATTCTTGAGAGATATAAGAATTTTGCACCAAGACTGTAATATTTTGTTGAATTATCCGTATAACTAGGTCATAAAAGTATTTGTGTACGTCTGATACCATACCACTTGTGAAGGAGGAAATGTACATGTTTATCTCTCAGAATGTTTGGTAACAGGTTTATTGTTTGTGATGTGTGTCTATGTATGTACTAACACGTTGTACTGAACGGGGTGAGAATAGCTTGAGCTACCTCATCCCTTTGTGTGTATTTTACCTCAATAAACTTATTTCAATTTCAATTCAATTCACACAACCATTCATACCAAAACAGAGATGCAGGGCCAGAAAATAGGATTGGTCCAACAGGAATTGCGAGAGGGTCAGAGACCAAAAGACACAAAAATGGAATCAATACAGGAAGAGGTCAAACCCCCAAACATACCAACGATACAAAGATGCGAGAAACAACTACACAGCAGTAAGGAGAGAGGCAAAGAAATTTTGAAAAAGGGATAGCGGATAAATGTAAACCAGAACAGGGCCTATTCTACAAATTCATAAACAACAAATTGCAGGTAAAGGATAATATCCAGAGGTTGAATATAGGAAACAGATTCACGGAAAATGAAAAAGAAATGTGTGAAACATTAAACGAAAAGTTCCAAAGTGTGTTTGTACAAAATGAAATCTTCAGAGAACCAGACACAATAAGAATTCCAGAGAACAACAGAGCATATAGAGGTGTCTAGAGATGAAGTGGAAAATATGCTACAGGAGCTAAGTAAGAACAAAGCAGCTGGCCCAGATGGAGTCTCACCATGGGTTCTGAGAGAATGTGCATCTGAGCTCAGCATTCCACTTCACCTGATCTTTCAGGCATCCCTGTGTACAGGAGTCATAGCTGATGTGTGGAAAAAGGCTAACATAGTTCCAATCTACGAAAGTGGCAGCAGGGAAGACCCCCTCAATTATAAACCTATATTATTGACAAGTGTAATAGTGAAAATATTGGAAAAAATAATAAAAACTGAATGGTGTAGAACACCTGGAGAGAAATAATATATCAGACAGTATGGTTTTCGATCTGGAAGATCACGTGTATCGAATTTACTCAGTTTCTATGATTGAGCCACAGAGATTTTACGGGAAAGAAATGGTTGGGTTGACTGCATCTATCTGGACCTAAAAAAGGCTTTCGACAAAGTTCCACATAAGAGGTTGTTCTGGAAACTGGATAATATTGGAGGGGTGACAGGTAAGCTTCTAACATGGATGAAAAATTTTCTGACATAGAAAAATGAGGGCGGTAATCAGAGGCAATGTATCGGAAAGGAGAAATGTCACTAGTGGAGTACCACAGGGTTCAGTTCTTGCACCGGTGATATTCATTGCCTACATAAATGTACTACCAGTTGGTATACAGAATTATATGAACATGTTTGCTGATGATGCCAAGATAATAGGAAGGATAAGAAACTTAGATGATTATCATGCCCTTCAAGACCTGGACAAAATAAGTATATGGAGCACCACTTGGCAAATGGAATTTGATGTGAATAAATGCTATGTTATGGAATGTGGAATAGAAGAACATAGCATACAACCTATAAATTATGTGAGAAATCTTTATAGAATTCTGATAAAGGTAGATCTAGGGGTGGTTCTAGATAGAAAACTATCACCTGAGGACCACATAAAGAATATTGTGCGAGGAGCCTATACCATGCTTTCTAACTTCAGAATTGCTTTGAAATACATGGATGGCTAAAATATACTAGAATAAAGTTGTGTTCACGACTTTTGTTAGGCCGAGGAAGGTTAGAATATGCAGCACTGTACAAAATAGTGTGGTGATTTCCCGAGACCATATCTTAAAGAGGCACGGTTGGTAGACGGTTGGAACAAGTTAGGTGAGAAGGTGGTGGAGGCCAAGACCGTCAGTAGTTTCAAAGCATTATATGACAGTGCTGGGAAGACGGGACACCACGAGCGTAGCTCTCATCCTGTAACTACACTTAGGTAATTACACACACAAGTAATATTATATTATATTGTACTTCATAGATCAAAAATACTATCCGTAAAATAAATAATTTAAATACTGTATAACATTACCACTTACCTTTTTGCATATAGTACAGACACATGGTGATTTTCCAGCACATCCTTCACACAGAGAATGACCACAGGTTAAGAGCACCGGCAAGTGCCTGTACACGTCATGCTTACCATCTGTCAATTAATGGAAAAAAGTTACCAAAATGTATACATGTATTCATCAATATTTCAACTAACTAGTAAATTTTAAAGAATATTGAAGCAGGATTTACAAGTTAGGTAGAAAAACTTTATAATATTAATAATAATAATAATAAATAATAATAATTTATTCACGGGGTACAAAAACTAAATAATAAATGTTTATTCATGTAAAAGTACATACATACATGATGAGTTACAAAAAATGTTGGATTTCTAGATAGAGCCAGTACATACTATGCCTAAAGCCACTAATACGCACAGCGTTTCGGGCATGATGTGTGAAAAAAACCCAGCATTGAATGTAATGAAACTCCATTTTCTGGGTGAGACCCGAAGGCTCCTCGGAGGTATACCGGGCTGATGTGTATATATTAGACCACGGCAACAGTCAATCGAAGGAGTTCTAAGCCTACTGGGGACCAGAGCCAGAACCTGGCCCCCTCAAGAGAGGCACGAGGAGCAATGGCCTAAAGACACCCCCGTGTAATTGGAAGCAGTGTTTCTCTGCCATCTACCAGGTCAGGCACCCAGAAAGGTAGGAATTCCAAAACGAACTACTGCTGGTCAAAAATTGCAAACCAAAAGCCAAACTAGCAAACAGAACTCTCCAATCAAAAACAAGGAAACAAACATGACCATCACCACAACCGCCGCGCATCCATCTGAACAACCCTCTCTCCCCAGGAGGGGGACGGGGCATCCCAGACTTCTACACCGGCATTTCTCCTCAGTTCAGAAGCCAAGTATCAAAAACGCGAAAAACTTCCGACCGGAAGGAGGGAGAGAGGTTACCTTACCTTGAGGTTACCTTGAGGTGCTTCCGGGGCTTAGCATTCCCACGGCCCAGTCGTTGACCAGGCCTCCTGGTTGCTGGACTGATCAACCAGGCTGTTGGACGCGGCTGCTCGCAGCCTGACGTATGAGCCACAGCCTGGTTGATCAGGTATCCTTTGGAGGTGCTTATCCAGTTCTCTCTTGAACACTGTGAGGGGATTGCCAGTTATGTCCCTTATGTGTAGCGGAAGCGTGTTGAACAGTCTCGGGCCTCTGATGTTGATAGAGTTCTCTCTCGGAGTACCTGTTGCACCTCTGCTTTTCAACGGGGGTATTCTGCACATCCTGCCATGCCTTCTGGTCTCATGTGATAATATTTCTGTGTGCAGGTTTGGCACCAGCCCCTCTTAATATTTTCTACGTGTAAATTATTATGTATCTCTCCCGCCTGCGCTCAAGGGAGTACAGATTTAGGCTCTTTAGTCGGTCCCAATAGTTTAGATGTTTTACTGAGTGGATTCTAGCAGTAAAGGATCTCTGCACGCTCTCCAGGTCAGCAATTTCTCCAGCTTTGAAAGGGCTGTCATTGTGCAGCAGTACTCCACTCTAGAGAGCACAAGCGTTTTGAAAAGTATCATCATCGGTATAGCATCTCTAGTGTGAAAAGTTCTTGTTATCCAACCTGTCATTTTTCTTGCAGTTGTGACGGCTACTTTATTGTGTTCTTTAAAGGTAAGGTCTTCTGACATGAGTACACCCAGATCCTTTACACTGCCTTTTCGTTCTATGTTATGATTTGCCTGAGTTTTGTACGTGGTTTCCGTTTTTAATTTTCATTTTTACCATAGCGCATGAGCTGGAACTTATCTTCGTTAAACACCATATTATTTTCTGTAGCCCATAGAAAGACCTGATCTACATCTGACTGGAGGTTTGCCATGTCCTCTATGCTACCTACTCTCATGAAGATCCTAGTGTCATCTGCAAAGGATGATACAGTGCTATAGGTTGTGTTCTTGTCTATGTCCGATATGAGGATGAGAAAAAGTACTGGAGCAAGCACAGTACCCTGGGGACTGAGCTCTTCACAGATGATGGGCTGGATTTTATTTTGTTGACTATTACACATTGGGTTCTGTTGGTCAGGAAATTGTAGATCCATCTGCCTATTTTTCCTGTAATTCCTTTTGAACGCATTTTATGTGCAATAACACCATGCTCACATTTATCAAAAGCTTTTGCGAAATCTGTGTAAATTACATCAGCGTTTTGTTTGTCTTCCATAGCATCTAATGCCATATCATAGTGGTCCAGCAACTGCGACAGGCAAGAGCGCCCTGTTCTGAAACCATGTTGTCCGGGGTTATGGAGATGCTGTGATTCCGTGTATTTTGTGATCTTGCTTCTTAGCACTCTCTCAAAAATTTTTATGATGTGCGATGTTAGTGCTATCGGTCTGTAATTTTTTGCCTCTGCCTTATTTCCTCCTTTATGAAGGGAGGGAGGGAGGGATGCCAGGGAACCTCCGGGTCTCATCGAGAAAGTGGCATTTCATTACATTCAACGCTGGTTTTCTGTGGAGAGCCCCTTCGGCATCCCGGAGCTACCTAACCAAAGTTAAGAAGAAAAGGGACTCATCTGGGAGGCGGTCATCACTCGCTCCTCAACTCAAAGTCGAGACAAATGGCTGCAACCTGTGACCCAAGGCTATACACGCCTGAGAAGGACTAGGAACATTAACAAGGTAACGTGCAGCCAGGACCCTGTTCGACCTCAAAAACTCTCGTGCCCAAAAGATAGGCCAGGACATATTGCCAAAACAGCAGCCGAACGCCGAACTTACGAACGGCGTGAGCATGGGGATAGACTGCAGGCTGGCTGGACCGAATAATCCTGTGGACAACCTGGGAGACCCGCTCCCTGGAATAGGAAAGAAGGAAAACTGGGTCAGCCCAAAGCGCGTCATCTGTCACAGCGGCCATGGTACGCAAATAACGGCTAAGAGCAACAGACACAAAACATGATGCACCCCCTGCCAAACCAACCAAGCATCAATAACCCAAGGACCACTTCGGAAAGCAGTTGACGCCTTCTTCGCCAGAAAAGGAGACGGCTGCAAATGAAGAAAAGACCACCAGGACTGAAAGAGCAGAAACCCCTGCCCCAGAGGAGAACATGAAACTTTCCGACCAGACGCCCAGAGGCCAATGCCAACAAGAGCCATAGAAAAACGGTCCTGAACCGATGGGGCCACCACAAACCGAGGAGAAGGGAAAAGAAAGCACCTGATGCAACGATTAGGACGACTCGGGCGGCGCATGAGTAGGCCGGAGGTGAAACAACACCCAAGAAAGCTTGCGGAATGTAGCAGAAGTGACATCTACCCCAAATGAAAGCTGCAGCGGCTCCTCCAGCCCTGCCTAAAACGAGGCAACAGTACTTGGCATAAGATGACGGTCCTGAAACAACCAACAACCAAGAGAGAGGGGACAAAACAACCCGACCAGAAATCGAAAAAACCTACGAAGAAACAAAGTGCCAAAAGGATCGCCAGGAAATTTCATACTGCCATTGAGACGAAACTCGCAGGTGGGACACCATCAACTAAGCCACCTGGTCACCATACAAGTGGTGATAAATCCGCATCAAAAAGACCAGACACGAAAAGCAGAGAAGATCGAACCAGCCACGTACCTGAATGGACCAATCTGCTGAAAAAGGCAGAGCCGCGGGAAGATCCTCAGGTTCGGACATCAAGCAAGAAGCGCCTGAAACCCGGGCTGGGCCGGCCACCAAAGAGCCAACAGGACTACTCGTCCCTGTTAAGTCTCTCCAAGCGAGCCAGGACCCGGAGCAACAACCGAACCAGTGGGAAGAGGTACAGGTAACCCCAACACGACCAATCCAGCTGAAAGGCATCAACCCCAGCGGCCTCGCAGTCTGGGAAGGGCACCACATACAATGAAAGACGCCTCGACCACGTCGATGCGAAGAGGTCCACCTCTAGGTACCCATATGTCCGGCAGAGCCAACTGAATGAGTGTGTCGACCGTACATTCCATGAATAGGGGAATGAACCATGTCACGGTAAAGTCTCTAGGAAGAGATTCAGCCTGCTCCATTATCACCTATTCTACTCATTCATGTCTTATTTAATTAAGAACTGCAGCCAAGAAGAACAACAACTACTACTACTACTTCCAGACGTCTAGACAATACCACCACCCATCTTACACCTGGGTTATCTTGAGATGATTTCGGGGCTTTTTAGTGTCCCCCGCGGCCCGGTCCTCGACCAGGCCTCCACCCCCAGGAAGCAGCCTGTGACAGCTGACTAACACCCAGGTACCTATTTTACTGCTAGGTAACAGGGGCATAGGGTGAAAGAAACTCTGCCCAATGTTTCTCGCCGGCGCCTGGGATCGAACCCAGGACCACAGGATCACAAGTCCAGCGTGCTGTCCGCTCGGCCGACCAGCTCCCGGGTCGCTGGGAGCTCACACCATCAGCCAAACAAGCAGTTTAAGAGCCGGTTAATAATTACCGAAGCCATCAGCGCCATCTACCCAGCCGTCATTCTGTATAAATAGGGCTGGCTAGCCCAATACGAGTTAGATTACTCCTGCATGCTCAACTGAATAGACCTGTTAACACATCTCTGTGTGGTACCGGATTTAGTCAGCCTAGCTCACAGTATTCTGCACCATATTTTATTTTGCACCTTAACGTAACATAACTGATTGTCTGTTTATCTTGTTTAATTTGCACTTTGTATAAAGCCAAGTTTAATAAATTTATTTTGTAATTTGTTTAAAGTAAAATTTCTATCAAAGTAAAGTATTTTTAGATGTTTTTTCCCTCTGCTTTATCCTACAGTTTACCTCACTGTGAAGGTAACTTGCAGTTTACCTTTTTTTTTTACTATTTTATGTGATTGGCATTCCATCTGCTAGCGACTGCATGAACACCTACTTTTCCCGTCACATAATTGGGGGCCCTGTCCTAGGAGCTTCACTCAGGTAATGCTTCTAGACCCTTCACTTAAAGTTGTGGTAACTGTACTTGGCTTTATTACAAATTTAATTTTTCAGATCTCTTATTCCTTGAATAATTTTAATGGTGCTTCATACTGTTTGCTTTCCAGATGTAGCATTATATGATTATTGGATGACTTTGGATTACGTGGTATCTTGTGG